TTGTCTATGACGATACATTTTATGGCTTAGATGGATCGCAAGGCAATTGTACAAGCACTCGTACTCATACGAGTATATTGTATCTGATAGATACGCGTCGCTGCAATTCTCGTTAAATTTTGCGCTAGACTTTAAAGGCGGCCACCTTTGATGTTTTTGGCCGCGCCAGGCGAATGCAAATATGTTTTATTGAATGCCAAATAATGGTCGTATAAATGTTATACATGTTTAATGATCCATACGAGTATTATTCAGTTATCGATTGAGTTTTGACTTCAAATGCTGTGCCGTTTCATTTTCTTTCATTAACATTTGTTCTCCTTCCCAGACTGGCCAGCCACATTAGCATAAATCTGGTCTGCGCGTTGACAGCCACGCCCCTAACGATTTATTAATTCTTCCATCAACTCCAAATGGCTGCAACATGGCACATAAGTAATCAGATTACTATCTATTTGTATAAGCAACATTATATTCGCGGCAACAAGCCCATTAATCAGTGCACTCCAAGTGTCTCTGTCTGTATGCTCGATTGGGCCAATTGTTCATTGAAAGGTCGCCAGAATTGGGAAAAAGAAAGGCGGACTCGTATGTGCTAATTCTGTGAAGAAATCATAAACTAATCATAAAATGCGTTACTCGTTCTTTATAAATCATGCCGTGGGAATTACCACGACGAGCTGACAAATCAGGAAGAGCGGAAGAAGTGCCTCGCACACCCGCCAGCGAGCTCGTCTCCCATCCACCAGCCAGCCAAGAAATGTGCGTGCCCCTCTAGTACTAGGGACGGTTGAGGGACTCCGACACTCTGGGTGCTACAACGCTTTGTACTTTTGCGGCCGTGTGTAAATATTTGACAACACATGCCTAATTAGTGCAGCTATTGATGGTTGCTGTTGTTGTTGTTGTTGCTGTTGTTCAGTTCTTGGTGATGGCAACACTTGTCGAACACGTTCACAACGTGGGCCACAATGCCAGTACAGCAGTGCCCCACACACACAGAACAGAGATGGACACAGCTCGAGAGAGAGAGAGAGAGAGAGAGAGAGAGAGAGCGGCAGTGGAGCTGGAGGGAGGGAGCGACGTGGAGGCGGTTAGGCGTCAATAGCGTTTTTATGATGTTGTTTCCTGAGAATTGCCAAGCGCTCTTATCTATGCATTGAAATGTGAAATGTGGAAGTAAAGGTACGAAAACCCACTCAAGAGCTCTGCTAACACCAAGTTTATGGGAAGACTGGGACTGGGACTGAGACCGGGACTGGATTATTGTTATGGTTTTAGACGTGTCCGAGAATCAGCCAAAAGAGCTAACAGCGATTAATGATCAGAGCTATAGGCGAAAAGATTCAACCGATTTTCACACACTGAACAAAAATATTATCGATTTGAGAAAAGTAAAAGAGCTTTTTTTATGTTATTAATATTTTTCCTGTCTTTGATTAGAAAATCAAACTCAATTAGTATTTATTTCTCTACTTTCCCTATAAGTCTTCAATCTGAACCTTACCCAAAATTTTGCTCTAGTGACAAATTTATGGTGATTTAAATTTATCAAATATTTCTTGCACAAAAATTGTTCGAAAATGGGAAAACCAAATAAACTGATACTAGAAATTTAAATACAATTGCTTTGAATTTGGATTTGAAAGCACAAATTGTACATTTATTTTCAAATTCGTGTCATCTATTATTATTCTTCTTTTTTCTGTTGATTTATAAAAAAAAATATATTGAAATAACCATAAATGAAATTAAATAAAATTGTAGAAATTATTTATAAAATTTAAAATTAAAAATTATTCTCCGAATTTCTGTGGTTTAGGAAAATGTTAATTCTCTTGAAGGTTTTGATACTTTTAACTCGATGTAGATTAATACATTCGATGCAAACAATGAAAATTGTTTCAAATTTATTATCTCTTGAATGAAAATTAAATTATTTTGGGATTAACTCTACCTACTTGTTAGTAAAATTCAAAATAGAGCGCCATATATGAAGTCAAATTACAGCCAATTTTCAATTTCAATTAAATAATTATTATTTTTTAATTTAATGTAATCCCAAAATGAAGTAATTTTTGAAACAAATGCAGTTTAATTCGTACTTTGAACGCTTTCATATAGCAACACAACAGACACAGCTCTTCGAATAAAATGTAAATATTAAAAACAAAAGTTTTTCCCAGTTTCTTGCTATCATTAACAAAGTTAAGCAAAGCGATTAAATATCAAATAATATGGTACCTTAAATATAGGTTGTAATACTTTTGGTTTCAATGGCACTTGATTGATTAGAATTCCATGAATTTGAACAACCTTGCTCTGTAGTCCAGTGCCATATCGCACAACACAATTCCCATGCCCCACTTAGAGAGCATTTGACACCCACAATGCAACTTTCAAGACTGAGTCTTTGGTCGCACAAGGCATTTGATGCAAATGACGAAACCAACTGGGCCTGGAGCTGGGACGGATACTTGGAGTCACTTGACGCATTGGCAAAGTGTTGTGGGCAAATATTGAAGCAGAGCTTCGCAAGTAAACGCGAGTCAAACAACGAGCAAACAGACAAAGGACTGACAAGCGAACAAACAGACCAGACCAGACCAGACGGACATGCACAGGAACAGACGGACAAACATGCTGACAAACATTTACAAGAACACGACGCTACACTTTCTGGGGCCGACAAAAAGCCACCAAAGACGAAGAACGAAAACTGAAAACCGCGATCAGTCCATAGGCAAAGCAGTTCAAAGCATTCAAGCGCTTGCCGCTTGTTTAAGAACGGCTTAAAGAGCTGCAACAAATTTGCTTTTGCCTTGCAAGTGATAACAAGATTTACAAATCGATTGCAGGCATTTAATGCCGACGGCGCTTTAACAACATACATATCTATATCCATATGTATATAGTAAGTACTTCGAGCGTATGTGTACGAGTCTCTCCACGCGCACCTGAGCTCCAGCCCAAGGGCCAGCCAGAGCCAGAGCCAGAGCCAGTACCAGAGGTGTTAATCTGCGTCAAAATATTGCTGCGATCGGAAAAACTGCGGTCCCAACTCTGTCTGTTTGACTTGCGTCCGTTTATCATCACAAATTTGGCGGACCGCACGATAATCAAATTAATTTGTTTAATACTTCAGATTGCGATCGCGGCACTTTATTTATAAATTCACAACGAAATTGAAATTGTTGCCAGACCCCGAAGAGCACATGGATTCTCACCTGTTGGCCGGAGTTTTTATTGCTCGTAATGTTGATTTTGACTCGAAGTCTTGATTGCCGGAAGCTTTTGGGACTTTTGGGCAAAATTAAAATGCAATAACAAATTTCATTAGCACATTTGGCATAATTATGGAAACTAATTGTTTTTTTGAACAGTGCCGGATCGCCAAAATATTCCCCAAGCAGGAAAATCTTGATGAGACATTTAAAAATAAAATCGATTGACCGATTAGCAGACTTATCTTTTCAATCGCTTTATGATGAAAAGGTTAACAAGTTTCCCTCAGGTACTGTCGATGTCAAGAAGAGTAAGAACTAAAGAATTCAATATGTGCACCACGAAATATAAATGAATATTCTGTGCATGAAAGCGCTTGTTCTAGAATGGTCGAAAAAGTCCACACAGTCCTTATTAATCAGGCAATAGGGCAATCAATATCTAATTTTCATTTTAAATAGCACATCATTTCTTGTAACCTTTTTCAAAAACAGTCAAATTTCAACTGTTCCTAACGATGTTAATAATATTTATATTTATTTATATTTATATTTGAAAACAATATTATCGTATGTTACAATAACATGTTAGCAACACGATAAATAAATATTGGAATAGTCCCTGCTTTTGAAATATATAGTATAATTTCCAATAAAAATATCATCCTATTTAGTTTCATTGGTTGGAAGAAGTTTCAGTTTTTAGATATAGAATTCAGTTGACATTTCAATAGAGCATGAACTGATGGTCAAACAATGTTTTGTATTACAGATTTCGCCATTGAACTAACTAACCATCACAATGAATAGCTAACGGTAAGTATGGAAAAGTCATTCTAAATATTTATATGTGAAATCCAAACATATATAAACTATAGAAAATTCCTAGACGGTACTACACAAAATCTACTTATTAGATACTTAAACTTATTCCAGTGGGGAATCTAATTACTATTAAGAATTTATTTATTATTACTTTATTATAAAAAGGAAATATATACAACATAGAAAATTTAAAAAAGACAAAAACTGATAAATATGTATAGTCCCTCCTGCTAAAATAACAAATCTGCTAGGCCTATATCAAAATATTAACAAAATTGAAAATAAAATTTTTGCCTATTTTCGAAAAGAAATTATAGATATTTTACTGAATTAGTTTTCCTTCAAGTTTTAACTAACAAGTGAAACACAACTATATACGTGTATATCAGATCTAACATTAACTTTTAAACGATTTCATACAACATTTTCTATTCACTATTGATTACTAATTCAATTAAAAATTTTTTAGCACTTATTGCTTCATTTCAAACAAGAATTTACAAAACTGTCTTGTTCACTATTAAGAATTTATATTGTTTTACTTGATTACTAATTCTATTACCTTGTAAATATGAAATACATTCAAATTGCATTCAAAATAGTAAACAATCAAAAAGCAGAATGACTCAAGTCATATAAATATAGAATAGATTTTTTGTCATATTTTCATATTCATATATTTTGAGAAGCAATTGCAGACGAAACATTACGTTATTACTTCTTTTTTGCTTTTTAGTCAATTGCTTAGAATGCAGGCAAAACCTTCCGCACCACTTTAATTCCACTCATTAATTTACGCTTCTACAGATCTATTTACATAGAATTAAAGTAAAGCTCTGATATTCATAGGCTTAAGGGGAATCTTCTTTAAAGCCATAATTGCTTTGTTACACATCGAATAAAGTAGACAGTTGAACTATAAATAGGAGTACATATAGTCAGTCAGCTTACCTGCATCACCCAATAGTTGTTGTTGGCGGCAAATTGATCACCAATTATTATATCCGTATGCATTTAAGCAGAATTATTGCATAAAAAGAACTCAATAAGATTTCGAATGGCCGTGCGGCGCGCTGTTTGCCTAACTATTTAGCAACTCGATTTAAATATTTGCTGTTATAATAATACTATTATTTTATTTTTACTTTTTGCTTTTATTTTTTAAATATTTGTTTTATTGATAACTGCGTTTTGTTTCTTTGTCAGACGGCAGTAACAACAGGTTCAAGGCACAATCGATTCCATGTAATTGGATAAGAAAATATTTAAATTTTGAATTTGTTGTTGTTGTTATTATTGTTGGCATGGCACTGCGTGGGTAGCAAAAATCGCTGCCCATTTACATATTTTCTATAATACTTATAAGCGCACTTCGATATGAATATATATACTATACATATGTATTGATGCAATAACTTTTGTTTACTTGGAAGAATTTATGCGAATAATTTGCAAGGATATGCAAATTTAATTTGATTAAGGCACACAAATACACACTCACACACAGAGACACAGAGACACAGACAAGCATTTGTACAGGCACTTGATAAGGCACTTGTTAATTGTGCGTAAAGCACAATTGATTAAGAATTTAAAATCTTAATGTTGTTGTTTTAATTTTAGCACATCCTTTCGATTTTTGACGTCATCTGCGGCCAAAATGCCGGCGGCTTTTCACTTCCGTATTGGGTTTAGTAGCACGTTTAAAGCAGCATTTAAGCCTGCTGCTGCTGCTGTTGTTGTTGTTGCTGCTGCTGCTGTTATTGCTGTTTATTAGTTAGCACAATTAAGAGAGAGCGTTATAATCATAATTACAGATTGAAATCACTTTATTATGGAAATCGCGCGACTGAAAAGACGCCGCAACGTTCGAATCAAAAATTTCCACAAAGCTGTCTCTTTTTATTTTTTGAATTTGCTGCCGTTAGCCGAGCGCTGCTTTCGTATCTTCGCTGGCGGGAACCGAGTTCATACTGATTGGACGAGCGAAGGTTTTGCGCAGACGAACCTCACAAAGTCAGCCAAACAGCCAGGCAGCCAGCCAGCGAGCCAGCCAGGCAGCCAGTCAAGCAGCCACTGCTGCTGCTGCCGCCGCCGCCGCCGCCGCCGCCGCTCACCCTCCCCGTCCCCGTCCCCCGCTCCACATCCCGTACCTTAATGCATTGCACACCTTTGCCGAGCGTCGTCGATGTTGTTGTCGTTGTCGTTGTCGTCGTCACTCAGGCTGACTCTTCTCATGCTCCCTACTGCCGTTGTTGTTATTGTTACTGCTATTGTTGTTGTCGCTATTGCTGTTGCTGTGGCTGTGGCCGATTCTCAATGACTTTATGGTTTGCTTGCTTTGCTGACTTAACGCTTGTTTGTTGTTTTAACCACTTTTTTCATCGTTCGCGTACGCTCGTTTCATATGTTCAACCAGGTGTTCTCATACCTGTATTTGAGCGTGTTGGCTTGTCTGTATGGGTGAGCGCGCTCTCCGATCACGCGCCGCTCTCTTATACGCCTTACACTTTATCAATTGGCTCTTGCTCGCTCACGGCGCGGGTGAGAGACTCAGGTGTTGAGCTGCTTGGAACTTTGTAGGCTAATCTTATTGGAGGTATAAGAGCGCTATGGCGTCCAATGCTGATGGGTTTCTACGTGAATGAAGTTGCTTGGATTCGCCATTTTATATTTGGATATCATTGTGGCTAGTCAGATTCAATGGAGTTCGCCTCCCGTACGATCAGATACGAAATCTGAGAAAACCGAGCAAGCTGCACATATTTGGAAATAATAATCAATAAATTGAGATAAAGTTTCTATTCTGACATTAAGTTTTTAATAGTTGAATAGACCTCTAATATTTGCCATGAATAAAATATGCTTAAAAAAACCTTACTTAAAAATTCACTTAAATGTAGACTGAATTATTGGCTTTGCAGTGAATGAAAACAAATTGATTCTAATTAAATGATTGTTCTTCATTGGATACATTTAGTATTTGTATGCTCTAGCTTTTACCTCCAAATATGGAAATAAGTCATCGATGTTAAGGGCATACTTTTTTCAAGCATGGAAAATATGCTTTGAATATTATGAACACAGTCCCAACTACTACAGTGTCCAACATTATGCTGTGGGGTAGATAGAAAGTATGTTTGGCATCACATAAAGAAAATAAGGGACAAAAGGAAGTATTAATGATATAATACACACCAATTCCAGTCTGTGCTTCAATTAGAACTCAAATCAAAATCAACATAAAATTGCGATTTCAGAGCTCGTCCGCAATCTCTCTATTAAATATCCAATTATTCTAAAATAAAGGGTATTTTCACTGGAAGTATTAAGCCTTCAATTACATACTTTACATACATTACAATACTGCTGAATCAGCAAAAGATTAATAAACTATAACTGAAACATGTCTATGCTGTTCTGTTTAATGAAACAATTTTATTTTTCCGTTTTAAACTGAAGATCTTTATCGTATTGGAACTTTTCATGTAAGCTTTAGTATATACATACATAATACAACGATTCAATCTGGTTGCAAGTATGCACACTAAATTCTCTTTATCTCATTTTATTTCTTTGTCCAGCCCACCGTTTTTATTGCGCTCCATTTACTAACTATTTAGAAATTTAAAGAGAGACTACAATCTCCCTACTTTTATTATTTTCTCTAATAAAATAAGTACTTCCATTTAATAGTCCTAGCAGTAAAAGCATCCTTAAATGGGTTCCATTTGTAAGCACCTCCCTTAAACAATTTGATTTAAGTAACTTCATCAAATAAATTGAAGTTTATGAAATACTCGAGCCATTGTTACCCATAGAAATAACTCATCCTCTTAAAAATTAGAGCAAGCTTGATTAATGTTTTTGCTTTGTTTTAAGCAGGAGTTCATTAACTTTTTTACACGCGGAACAGGAACAACAGTTTCTGATAGGCTCGAGCTCACGCAAACGCTTTAAAAGGACACGCAGCTTTGCCATAAAACATAATTAAATAAAATTAAAGCGTAAACGAATGCTATGTATTCTTTGTTGCAACAAAATCAATAAACTGACCATAAAACATATGTATACTGTTACCATATCTGCCACACTCGTCAGGGTTTCGTCCCCTGACAAGTAATTCCATAGAATCAAGCGCCAAGCGCCGGGCCAGGTATAAAATTACCCCAACACACGCAGCACCAAAAGCCATTTTCATTTTGTGCTCAACCCCCTCCCCCAACCACCCACCACTGACCAAACCACCCAACCACCCACACACACAAAAGTCAAAGCCATTAGGGTCGCTGGACAACGAATTGTTTATGCTACACATGCGAATCGAGCGACTAACGAATCCCACCAACTGAAATAAACTGAATGTATTGACTATATGGTTGGAGAGGGGGAGTGGGGGGAGGAAGTACTGTCATGGTGCTGGTCGGAGGGGGTGGGGGACATTGCCCAGCACGCAAAGCAGCGACTACGTTGTCCAAATATGGGGAAAGAAGTCAACAAACAGTCAATAGAGGTGTGGCCTGGTCTCGACGCATTCGTTATGCCGAGCGCTGGAAAAACCAACCAATCAGCTCGTCGCTCGCCGCGCAGGTGCGAGCGAGTGCGCCAGTGTGTGCGAGTGAGCAGGCGAATACGAAACACAATTTTGTTGCGGTTTGTAGTTGTTGCGTGTGTTGTAGGCAAAGAAAAATGAAATAAAATGAAATTAAAAGCTCGAAAGCGACACACACGCAGGTGAAGCAGCAACTGCTAGACTATGGACTCTGACTTGCTAATGTTGTTTTTGTTGCTGTTGTTATTGTTGTTGCTGTTGTTGTTGTTCTTGCTAGATCTGGAGATATGTGTGTAGTAAGTAACTTGCACACACAGATACACATACACCTTTGCTAGCCTGCCTGTCTATAGATAATTGACTGCCGAGCGAGTGAAGCGCTCACTGACTGTCCGTCTATTTGTCTGCCATATGCCATACTGTCGACTGCCTGCCTGCCTGTCTGTTTGCTGCGTGTGTGTGTGTGTGTGTGTTCAGGTATTTACTTCGTGTAAATTTGCCATTAATGCCAAAGCAGTCGCTTCCACACACGCACACATTCTCTGATAAAAAGCATATACATACATACATACATATGTACATATGTACTGTGCATACTATACGAGTAGGTATGTACAACTATGAATGTATACCTATCTGCGCTGACATTGTCACTCTACGTACTTTTCTTTGTTTTCAACTCAAGGCGTGTGTATCTATGTATGTATGTAAGTACTATATGTGTGCATTGCAGTCAATTTTCATGTCTCTTGTGCAAACGCTGCACAGTTACTGCTTACTACCTGTCTTACGTATATACCCGTATCTGTCTTACGTACATACTCGTATCTGAGAGCTCAAAAGATACATTTTCGCTGCGGCCTCCGTTTATATGTTTGTCCGCACTTGACTCCTGATGCTAACCAAATGCCATCGATTTGGAACAAGTGCAGTCCAAAATGTTGACATCTAATTGCTGCTAATTATGACACATTCTGTGCTTAAAATTAATTAATTAGCGTGTGTTATTAAACAGATTCTGAAGCTGCAAAGCAACCTATGCATATTAATATGCATATTTCTATGATGAACACCAGAATATAACAATTATTTGCATACACCTCGGTATACATATGTAATATACTTATATATTTTATACTTATGTACGTATTTTTAATGCAGAACTGGAGCAGGAGCATTTGGAAATTGTCAATCAATGCAGCAACAATTATACTTTGTTAGTTCCTAAATTCGTAGGAAGGATACACTATCTAGATTTCTTTAAATCGCCGGCCTTCCAATTGAGTAACGTTTTTGCAACTTATCAGGAATTATATAATAAATTTATTTATTTATTTATTTTTTCATTTATTTATTAACTTATCCTAGCTTTGCAAGTACCAGATTACTTTTAAGTTTTTTACGCTAAGTTTTACATATTCATTGCTATTTAATTCAATTAATTATAAAATTTTTTCAATTA